GTTGTAGATGCCCATAAAACTGTGCTTAACTCAACAACACAGTTGAGCCGAGAGGTAGAACTGTATTTGTGTACACGGCAATAAGGAAAAGCTATAGTAAATAGATTATTCACGTGCGCACAAGTGGCACGGCATAATTTATAACGGTATATGCATCACAGAATCTATGGAGGCATAGCAATATCACAACACTTGTCACATCGTGGATGCTGAGCGACGAGTACTTGCGTACACTGATAATACGACCGGAGATAAGAAATATGGGGGTGTGGAGAGCGTTAAACAGCGTAGGCGACGCCAACTAGGATGGAAAGAAGCGTGAAACCAAACCGCACCGGCTGGAGATCTTCGAGAACCAAGATCGACAGGACCTTGCAGCCTGCAAGTTGCAGGTGCTCAGATCATGATCCATGACTCGTGGCGCATGGACTATGAGCGAAAAAGATGCTTCAGGATATCCCGCACCGATGTGAGAATACGAGACTCATCTCTATCTACAACTCAGGTCATATTATGCTATCAGTCTTAGCTGGGTCCACAAACAAAGATTTGTGAGCCGTGACAAAGTTATTTACGCGATTATTGACCAGAAGGAAGAAGCTCGACGAACGATATCAATATGGCGGATTGATTGGACGGCCAAAAGATTGACCCTGTCAATATACCGGAAACCTCAAGTCATTCGAATTGTCGTTAGTCGTAGCTTATTCGCTGAGTAGATGATGTGCGCTTCATATGCTCCCCGAGTTGACTTGGAACACAACAACATCGTGGGTGCCGAGTGGCAAACGTTATGTTTGTAACGGACTTGCGTACAATCTGAATACGGAAGAAAATAGGAGATATGGGGATATGACGAGCGTTGCACAGCGTAGACGACAACACGACGGGGAAACGGGTGAAAAGAGATCACAAAGACTGGAGAAGTTCGAGAACCAAGACCGACAGAATCTTGCAGGTGGTCAGATCATGATACATGAGCGACAGAAGAATGCTCCAGAAGATCCGCACCGATGTGAGAGTGTGGGACGCATCTCTATACACAACGACAGCCTAGCGGGTCGCAGTGGCAATGTCCCGGACAACTATTGCAATTAGGCAAGCTGAGCCTACGGCCGAGTAGGGATCCCTCCCGCGGGATTCTCTCAGTGATACCAAAAGCGGTCATGATGGTCGCGGCGAGGACGAGGATAGAGAGGCGCATGGTTGAGAAGTGGATAGATAGAATTCGTCGTGATACTGAATACCGGAATGACTGCAAAAGCTCAAAATGATCAATTAAGCTATCGACCAAGCCCTCTGACGTTACAGACGACTGAGACACCAATCCGTTTGAGGCTAGTGAATTCGTACCACGAGTGTCTCTCGCACAACAGCAGCCCCTCAAAATTTATGCCATAAATTTTATGGTGATTATCTGTGCTGGACTGATGCAGAATCTGCTAGGAGATTAAGTTTTAATTCTTGAGAACGTGAGTAGATAGCTGCTATCCGATAGCATACGTCACGGTGCGTGACGAGTAATGCGCACAGTTGCTGGGACGAATCAGGCGCGAATAACTATTGTAGATTTACCACCGCGGGAGACACGGAAGTATTCAGGTAAGAATCAACTAACAGCTGACAGATCCTTACTAGTAAAAATCCACTCGAACGACTAGTATAATCGCTGCGCGGCAACCCGCACGCACAACGATGGAGCTGCTGCAGCTCAGCTGCACGCATACACAATGTCAGTGGAGCATCCTAATCCATTATATACTGAGGGGCACAGACACAGATAACAACTAAAAGGCTAGCCAAGATAGACCTGCTGCTAGAAAAGTAAGACAATCGTCCTCGGTCCGGAAGTTTCATTCGCACGTCAGTGACCAATTCACACACGGTATGCCTCATCAGACACACTATCCCTCAAAGGATATTTTCGTGAGGGGAGTAGAAGCGGTTTCCGCGAGTCATTTGGCTCGGACGGAAACCACAATGGTGGATTCAATTCAACCGTAGAAATGTGGAATCTGTTACGAACATTACATAACCTTAAAAACCTTGAGAATCCCCAGTGAAGATGCGTTTCCGACGATGTATCACACTATGTTAATGGAATGTGTTGATGTAGAGTTTCACTCCTAGGACGGTGTGAAATATCCTAGAATATCCGGTGAATTATCTCACCGTCCTGATGATGATGATGATGATGATGATGATGATGAACCGGTGAAGACCGACGAGGAGGATGACCCGTCGAGCTCCTCCTCCGCGCTGACCACTCTTAAACCGCCTCGGAGCACTCTGTACTCCTCCGATCGTGAGACGAAGATCAATACGGGTCAACGCGCTGTCAGCCTCTTCCTGAACTCTACAAGGCAACTTTCGGTAGAAACCATCAGGATGGAGTGTTTCTCGTCGACCCGGATAGTATAATATCCAAACTCTGTTCCGTGGAGGGTCTGCTTCGTCAATGTTTGGTCATACCTGCCGGCACAGTCCTGGTCTCTCTGATCGAGTGGGTGAATCCAGATTTCATGTAGTGAGAGTGATTTCATGTAGTAAGAGTAATGCCGCCAGTTACCTCAAACCACCGAGTGGGACACAATCTACCCCCAACTAGTAACGAGTACTACATGACTTCTGGGCATTGGAGTTGAAGTTGCAGTTGAAGACCTTAACCTCTCTAGGTAGCTCCTTATTGATAGCATCCACCACCTCTGGATACCTGTGGGGCTCAATATGAGCTACTCTCTCCCATCAGTATGACCTTAACCTCGCTTTCTATTCACCCTATCAGCCTGACGATTGCCTTTCACCTCAAGTGCCTCATGATTCATGAACTAGTATTTTAGCACATATCACGATACGTGCTGCCGAGACCTGGAAGGGTACGGCTATACCAGCCACACAGGGAGTAGCTATAGTACACCAGGATCTGTCCGGCCACTCCTCCTCTACTGCATCTCATCTAAACGTACGACATCAGACTTTACGACACCAGCCCTCTTCGTAGCCCCTAGCACGTCTGACTCGACATAGTCTATACGATCACAGTTATCAGCATCCATCTGTAAGACTCGGTACTTGGCATCTACCAAGAAGGAGCTCCTGACATCCCACTACTATTCGGATACACTAGAGCTCCGTCATCAGACTCGAGGTACCCTATAGGACTGTTGGGCTCTCTCGATTCACTGCCATTGACTCCTACTACTAGGGCACATTTTCGCTTGGCATTGAGCTGCAATTTGGGTGCAGGAGCCTCCTCAAGAACGGGAGAGGCGATCGAAGTATCCATGCAGAAGTAAAGGAAGCTACTGCTCTTTGTGAGGATTTCCAATGAAGGGATCTATTGCACAGCACTACTATGTAACACTATTGTACCGATACGAATATCGTGATCAATTGAGTATAGTTGCAGTAGGAATCAACAAGGGACAACATCATCATCACCCCACGTACCTACACATCATCATCATGACAGTGTGGTACATCTAGACTCTCCATTATCAAGCATTGAAGATAGAGACATATTATTAATAATAATACGAGTGGGAGTTGATATGCTGAAACAATATTATCACATACAGTACATTGAGCACCTCATCATCACTTATATCATTATATTAACATAGCTTAGTAGCTAGCCTAGACTTTAGCACAGCTTGTAGGATATTGTGCAATAGGGACGATTGTGGAGGGTGATGAGTAGAGGAGAACAATTTCCTGGTCATTAGTAGCTCACTCGTCACACATCCGACGGTAGCAGTGCTTTCCTCGACATGGACCACGTCACGTGGTTCATTGCTCGGAATATGAATGCTCCGGTCCGATGAATCCCCCGACGACCGGCTCAACTCCTCGTATAGCAGGAGGCTATTACCTCTATTACAATATTCGTATTCATGGCGTTCATCGGCAACTATGCAGCCGGTGAGGATTTCGATCGATTCCATACAGTGTGTCTATTGAAATCAGCGGGTTGCACGTCTCAGCCAGCAGATCTGGTCGACCCTAGTGCTACAGTTCTCTTCTTGGGAGGGTGAGACATCCCACATTGGACATCTCATTCGGCCCTTAGCTTGTAACCTATCTTTCTTGGCTTCTCGAGTTGCTCAAGATGACTATCGAGTGACTCGGTAGTTTTATCTGACTCGGCTGTTCCCATGATAGCCGCATCCTCCCTGTCAGGTATCTAGTACTCTTCGTGGTGATAATCTTCATCGCTTTACTGAATTTTTTTGTTGCAATAGTTCGACGGCGTCGAACAGCCTATCGATACGACTATTCTGGCCGTATCGATAGGTCGTGCATCAGTAAGGAAAATGACTCTCGTTATTCGAATGAAAACGTGCTCTCAAAGTGAGCGTCTTTGTAGAACCCGCTCCTTCGAGACCTTTCCTGAAGGTCCCGGGTCGGAAAAGTGGAAGACACCGAGTAGCAGTACGAAATCGAGCAAGGCCTCGGGGGGATTGTCCCCGACCCTGCGTCGGCGACGCAACCGATGAAGTATCGTGCGACATCTCCCTTTTTAATTCCCCCAACGCAGCCTATGGCTGTCCGGCCTCTCCAAGATATGCCTAACCTTGATCTGCAGCGCCTCAATGCCCCAATGTTGTTGGTGCCTCCAAACGGAATTCAAGGCACGCTCAGTGTTTTAATGAATCTTATAATTATTCCAAGGATGTCTAATCCCATTTCGTCGCCTGGTAAGTTGAGCCAACAACTCGGTGGACCGATGACCTATGATCGCGCGCCTCGCAAAGCTCAGTATCGAAAACGAGGAAAAGTTTTTGCTTAGCGCCTGCGTTTCGTCATCCCAGTATTGAGTGTTGGATTATCTACTCTCTTTTTCGTGTGACAACCGACGGTGCTCGGGAAGGGACACACCGCCAACGGAAGAGCATCAATTTTGTTCAACATCAACACCATCTGAGGAAAAAATCGGATGATATCGGAAGTTAGAGGACCAAGGGTGTATTATCTGATAAGACAGCCTTTCCCTTCTCAAGGTAAACAAGGTGGATCGAACAAAGGCCGAGAGCGAGTCCCGCACTCATCTTATAGTTAGAGAATTTGCCACAGTGAAAACAGGAGCCAACTCAATTTGATAGCTTGAAGTGTCCTCACAAAGGTTCACATGCAATTAATCGGTCACTCAAACCACCTGGAACCAACATGACCTTCCACTAAGCAGCTGATGGATGAATCCGTCCCTGTCGAGCTGCTCAAGATAACGAAGCACTCCGCAACGAGTTGGTATTGTCGGTTGGTACCACGAGAAAGCCCAACAGGGTGAAACCCCTGAATACGCCATCGCAAAATCATTTGCACTTTTGACGGTATCGAGAGTCTCGACTCGAAACCGGTATTATTGGGCACCTTTGAGCAATTCCCAAGTTCAGTTCGATTAACTCTCCTCGAATTAACGACACAACAAAAGAAATTGAAGGATAAATAAGTAAATAAAATAGGTAAAATTAATCGATATCCATCCTCGGTCAAATATGCAAATCGCATTGGATACCATCCAATAGATAGTATGATGGTAGGAAATAATGAGTCAACATCTCCAATTATCCTAGCACAACCTTCAGATACGACCATCTAGCCGTTTAC